GCAGCCTGGCCTGGCACTCAGAGGGGGTCGGGGGTTTGGGTGGCCTGGCCCGGCGCTCGGGGCGGGGGGGGAGGGGCAGAGGTTTGGGCGGCCCAGCGTGGCGCTGGGGGCGGTGTTACGGCAGGGCAGCGCTCTTCTTTTTTGCCTGGGGCGGCAAAAAAGTTAGAGCCGGCCCTGACTGTTGAGTTTGCTTAAGGACTCCCGTGAAGGAGACAATGGAGCAGAGCACTGCATAGCAACTGTTAGCCATGAGGGGGCACTTGGGTGGCAGCCAACCCTGCTGCAATTCTGCAGCAGTTCTGCAGAAAAGGCCCTGGGGATTACAGTGGACGAGAAGCTGGATATGAGTCAGCAGTGTGCCCTCGTTGCCAAGAAGGCTAATGGCATATTGGACTGCATTAGTAGGAGCATTGCCAGCAGATCGAGGGAAGTGATTATTCCCCTCTATTTGGCACCGGTGAGGCCACACCTGGAGTATTGTGTCCAGTTTTGGTTCCCCCACTACAAGAAGGATGTGGACAAATTGGAGAGAGTCCAGTGGAGGGCAACTAAAATGATTAGGGGGCTGGGGCACATGACTTACGAGGAGAGGCTGACGGAACTGGGGTTATTTAGTCTGCAGAAGAGAAGAGTGAGGGGGGATTTGATAGCAGCCTTCAACTACCAAGGGGGGGTTCCAAAGAGGATGGATCTAGACTGTTCTCAGTGGTAGCAGATGACAGAAGAAGAAGCAATGGTCTCAAGTTGCAGTGGGGGAGGTCTAGGTTGGATATTAGGAAAAACTATTTCACCAGGAGGGTGGTGAAGCACTGGAATGGGTTCCCTAGGGAGGTGGTGGAATCTCCTTCCTTAGAGGTTTTTAAGGCCCGGCTTGACAAAGCCCTTGCTGGGATGATTTAGTTGGGAATTGGTCCTGCTTTGAGCAGGGGGTTGGACTAGATGACCTCCTGAGGTCCCTTCCAACCCGGATATTCTATGATTCTACAGCTTTTCACCTGCAGATCCCCAGGTGCTTTATGAAGGTCAGTCTCAAAGGAGGGGCGTGACCCTACAGGCAGGGTGTGTGTGTGTGTGTGTGTGTGGCCTCAAGCGTTGGTGCACAGCACCTATTTTCAGAGCTGTGTTGGCCATGCCTGAGCACATGCAAGCCAAGCAGGCACAAGCGGAGGCTAATGCCCCCAAGCAGCCCTCCATTGGCAGCTGGACCAGCCACTCCAGCCTGAAAGGAGGTTGCTGTCCATGGAGGTGGGGCTAGAGGGTTTGTGAAAGAGGGAAGAAGGCAAGGTGGCAGGTGGGTGGGAAGGAGTTCAGTCCAGTTCAACTCAATCCTACGAGTTCAGTCGAGTGAATGTTTCTCTCTGGCCAAGCGTGTTGTCCCTTGTAGTGGCTGGTCTACAAAAAGAATAAGAGCCTACTACTAACAGTGTTGATCCTTTTTAGCCCAAGTGCTGGAAAACTGAAAATAAAGGCCCTGGGTTCATCTCCCCATTACTGCCTGTGCTGAAGCAGGAATTTTCTGCAATATTTTTATGAATCCTATGTGTGCCTCAGTTTCCCCTATATGCTGCATTGTTACCCAGTGGGGGAAAGGGACTGTTTGCTCTCAGGGCAGGCTAGGAGACATGGCTCTGAATGTCACCTAGCTGTCTGGGCCTTAGTCCCCATATCAATGGCGCATCCAAAAAGACAATGGCAAATCCAATCCCAGGACGTTGACACATAGCCACCAACAAGCCAGAGGGAGGTAGATTTCCCCACTCTCTGCAGGGAAGCTGAGCAACAATCCCCAGCTCAAGAACTAAGGACTGGAGAGGTGTGAGGTGGGGGATAAGGTTGGCTGCTGGAAGGAGTTGGGACTCTCGCCTAGAACTGACCAAGGAGTTAGACTGAGCCCTGGTCTACACTTAGAGCTAGGTTTCAGAGCAGAGCCATGTTCGTCTGTAACAGCAAAACCAACCAGGAGTCCTTGTGGCACCTTAGAGACTAACATTTGGGCATCAGCTTTCGTGGGCTAAAACCCACTTCATCAGAGCTAGGTCAATGTAAGGCAGCTGACGTCCTAACTCTGGAAACATCTACACTAGGGCCTAGTCTACACTACGAGGTTAGGTTGAATTTAGCTGTGTTAGGTCAATTTTATAAGCAATGCGGCTACACAATCAACCCCGTTGCACCGACCTAAAGGGCTCTTAAAATCGACTGCTGTACTCCTCCCCGACAAGGGGAGTAGCGCTAAAATCGACTTTCCTGGGTCAAATTTGGGGTAGTGCAGACGCAGAGCTGTGCAATTTGATGGTATTGGCCTCCAGGAGCTATCCCAGAGTGCTCCGATGTGACTGCTCTGGACAGCACTTCCAACTCCAATGCACTAGCCAGGTACACAGGAAAAGCCCCGGGCACTTTTGAATTTCATTTCCTGTTTGGTCAGCGTGGCGAGCTCAGCAGCACAGGTGACCAGGCAGTCCCAGACTTGCAAACGAGCTCCAGCATGGAGCGAACGGGAGACACTGGATCTGATTGCTGGATGGGGAGAAGAATCTGTGCAGGCAGAACTCCGATCCAGCAGAAGAAATGCTGATATTTATGCCAAAATCGCACAGGGCATGGTGGACAGAGGCTACCCCAGGGACACACAGCAGTGCCGCGTGAAAATTAAGGCGCTCAGGCAAGTCTACCAAAAGACAAAGGAGGCAAACGGTCACTCCAGGTCAGAGCCCCAGACATGCCGCTTTTATGATCAGCTGCATGTCATTCTGGGGGGGACTCTACCATTACCCCACCACTGTCCATGGACACCCGCAAGGGGGGAGTCTCACGCAACACAGATGAGGATTTTGTGGATGATGATGAGGAGAATGCGCAACAGGCAAGCAGACAATCTGTTCTCCCCAGCAGCCAGGACCTTTTCATCACCCTGGAGCCAATACCCTCCCAGGGCAAATTGTTCCCGGACCCTGAAGGTGGAGAAGGTATCTCTGGTGAGTGCCCATTTGTAACTACACTACAGGGTTAAAAGCAATTGTGTTTAATGTTTGATTTGCCCTGAAGAATTGGGATGCATTCACGACCAGTACAGCCACTGGAAAAGTCTGTTAACGTGTCTGGGGATGGAGCGGGAACTCTCCATGGACATCTCCATGAAGCTCTCCTGGAGGTACTCTGAAAGCCTTTGCTGAAGGTTTCTGGGGAGAGCTGCCTTATTTCGTCCTCCACGGTAGGACACTTGACCACACAAAGCCAGTAGCAAGTGGACTGGAATCATTGCAGCACAACACATGGCAGCGAATGGTCCTGGGTTTTGGTCGAATTCATGCAACATTCGATCTTTATCTTTCTGTGTCAGCCTCAGGAGAGTGATATCATTCGTGCTCACCTGGTTAAAATAGGGGAAGTTTTGTAAGGGAACAGTAATCCCCTCTGTTTGGTGATCCCCAGCACATTAGACCCTGGGCATGCTGGACTGTGTGCACTTGGCTAAAAGGGATCATCCTGGAGAATAGCCACGCGGGGGAAGGTGGGGGGAGAGGTGTGCTGCACATCCACCCCAAAACCCGCAGCCCCTCCTTTTAAACGGCAACTACAGGCCCTCCTTTTAAATGGCAAAACCAAGCGGCATTGATGGCTATGGGAAAGGAGGGCACTGCAGTTTGAAACCATTCCCACATGTTATGAACGCAGAAGCCAACCCCATGTACCCTTTGGCTTACCATGGCTGCCTGGAAACTGAACTTTGTTATCCAGCCATGTGTGATGTGTCACTATACCGGCAGGCGCTCAATATAAAAGGCAAAATGCGACCTTGTACCTAAAATATGTGCTGTCTGCTGTGAATTGCTTGATTCACTGTGCAAGAGTCTCCCTTTTGTTCTCAGAAATGTATCTTCTTAAATTCTACTCTCCCTTTTTCCCCCTCTGCAGCTGCAAATGTTTCTATACTCCCCGTATCAACTCCATCCCTGAGGTTATCGCAGATTAGAAAAAACGCACTCGCGATGACATGTTTTCAGAGCTCATGCAATCCTCCTGCAATGATAGGGCACAGCTGAATGCATGGAGGCATTCGGTGGCAGAGGCCAGGAAAGCATACAGTGAGAGAGATCAGAACATGCAGGAGGTGATGCTGAGGCTAATGGGGGAGTAAACGGACATGATAAGGCATCTGGTGGAGCTGCAGGAAAGGCAACAAGAGCACAGACCCCCACTGCATCCACTGTATAACAGCCTACCCTCCTCCCCATGTTCCATATCCTCCTCACCCAGACGCCCAAGAACGCGGGGAGGCTCCAGGCACCCAGCCACTCAACTCCAGAGGATGGCCCAAGTGACAGAAGGCTGTCATTCAAACACCTTTGATTTGTAGTGTGGCTACAATAAGCAATGTGGCCTTATCCTTCCCATCTCCCCCACCAGGGCAGGTCTCATTTTGGTATTCCTGCGCTTCAGGGCGGGGGAAAGCAACTCACAAAGTTCCATGAAAGTGGCCTTACGCATGCAAAAGTTTCTCAGCCACTGGGAATCATCCCATACCCGCAACACTATGCGGTCCCACCAGTCTGTGCTTGTTTCCCGGGCCCAGAATCGGCATTCCACTGTATCAACATGCCCCAATGCCGCCATGCTATCCCAATTGCTACATCCCATGCTTTCAGGAACGTCTGTGTCCATGTCCTCCTCACAATCTTCCTCTTGCTGCCGACTCCTAGGTAGGCTCTGCACATACTGCAGGATAATGTGCGAGGTGTTTACAATGCTCACAAAAGCAGTGTGCAGCTGAGCGGGCTCCATGCTTGCCATGTTATGGCGTCTGCACGGATAACCCAGGAAAAAAGGTGTGAAACGATTGTTTGCCGTTGCTTTCAAGGAGGGAGGGAAGGGAAACTGACGACATGTACCCAAAACCACCCGCGACAATGTTTTTGCCCCATCAGGCATTGGGAGCTTAACCCAGAATTCCAAAGGGCAGTGGGGACTGTGGGATAGCTACCCACAGTGCACCACTCCGTGAGTCAATGCTAGCCATGGTATTGAGGACGGACTCCGCCGCTTAGTGGGGACACGCACGATCGACTGTATAAAATCGATTGCTAAAGATTGAATTCTATAAAATCGACCTAATTTCATCATGTAGACATGCCCTAAAATGAAGCTCCCACCGATATAACTCCCCCCACTACACCAACTTAATCCAGCTCTGGGAGAGCTGCAGCACTTAGGTCGATGTCGTGAGGTTGATGCAGTGTCAGGGCTAGTCTACACTGGCTGGCCGCGGCAGCGCTTTAACGTGCCTTGTGTGGTCATGGCGCACGGGGCACTGTTTACACTGGCAATAAACAGTGCTGCAACTTGCTGCGCTCGGGGGGGGGGGGGGCTGTTAATTGCCAGTGTAGACAAGCCCTCAGTGTCAACACTGTGTTGCTTACATCGACTGGTGCTGCCTTTCAGAGGCCGTCCCACAATACCCCATGCTGACGGTTCAATCGGTGCAATTTTGTAGTGTGGACTTGCCCTGGGGGTATGTCAATACTTACAGTTCTTCCTACCTAGCGCTGTCTATATGGGGACTTAGCTCGGCTTAACAACACTGCTCCGGGACGTGGATTTTTCACATCTCTGACCGATGTAGTTTAAACGTAGCTAATTTGCTAGTGTAGACTAGGTCTGAGATGGAAGCCTGACCAGTGGGTTCACTGTTCCCCTGGCTGGGCCCTGGGCTGACCAGGATGGGCCGTGCTTTCACCTTCAGTTCTCTGGGCTAACCTGGGGACTTCCCATGCTGGGCTCCAGCTGCTGAATAAACCCGGCTGTTGTGACAGCGCTGGGTGAGGAGCGTTAACCCCTGCACAGCGCACAAGGCTCCACGGGAGTCTGGCTCAGTGGGACTCGCTGCACAGAGCTCACAGTGTGAAGCAGGGGGACTGGAGCCCCAGAAGTCCAGGCTAGGAGGTGGTCAGGCCACAGGCCCTGCCCTGGAGGAAGAGTGAGACCCCTGGGGGTTTGGCCCACTGAACGGTTCCTCCAAGAGACTGTTCCAAAGCTGAGTCTGTAGCACCGATCCTCTGGATCAATGACACTGCCCAGCTCTGTCATTTTCTTTGTGTTTTTTTTAAACACCGCATAATATTTGGTGTTTTCCTTAAAGCCCCAGCTCCAGGAGTCATGTGAATACATCAGAATTTCAGCCCCTCCCCACCCCCCCCTTTAAAGCAAGTTGCTAGCTCACTTGGCTGTGAGGAAAGCTTGAAAATGTGATTCCTAAAGGCTCGAAACCAGAAGGTAAACAAAGGATCTAACACTGATTCTCTTAAAAAAAATTCATGATTTTGGGGGGCCTGACTCATGATTTTTGAATGCTGGAGATTTTCTATACTGATTCCTACTGGGAGCCACATGGAGGAGATGGTGCTGCCTGTATTTTCACTGTAATTTTAAAATTCACTAATGCTTTGCCCTCCCTCTTTCCTCTTGCAGAGTTCTGACCTCCCGGAGATGCTGTTCCCCCAGCTCCCGAGCAGAGGTGCTAGCTCTGAGCCATGCCCGAGGTGGGTTAGGGCTAATAAGAGCCGTATGTGGTTTTTAAGTGATAAATTACCTACTGATGTTTTTCCTTTGCATTTGTTTTGGGAGGGCTGAGTTAGTCCAGCCAGACTTGTCTTCCGGTTCTTGTGCATTGCGTGTCCTGGCCTTTGTTTCTATTATTACTGGTAATTAGTGCATTAGTGTGTCAGGCCTGTTGCTGGGACACCCTCTGCAGACAGCTGGGCGACACGTCAGCTGCTATGGGGCCTGCTGGAACCAAGGATGGGTAGTTACGCCAAGCCATACCTCTGCTGCTGTTAGGCCCGCTAGACACGGACACTGCCTGCCGCTGGCTGGTGAGCAAGTGAGGACAGGAGAGGAGCTGGAGCATGGAAAGTGTCATCTGAAAAGGTGAATGTCACAGTGAGTTAAAGCTGGTTAATAACAGCCTTAGCTACCATGCTTGCTCTCGTTCTATAGAGTGTGCCCATCACCCAGGCCTTTGGGCACATTGACACAACAATAATACAACTAATGTAAGAGACCAGACTGTCTGTGATAGGCAGCAACACTGAAGCACGATCTCCAGCCTACCCTGGGGATTTGCCCTGATTGTAGCCCCTGGTGTTCACCGTTGGTGCAGACCGTGTAAACTGCTGAGCTGGGACTTGCACCTGCACAGTTTATCCCACATCCGAGATGGGCTAATCTGTGTGTAGAACATCTGCCCAAGGGGGTTGTACCTGTGGAGCTTTACCAGGGCTTGGCCACCCCTGGCTGACATCCCTGGGCATCAGGCCTACGACAATGTCAGCACTGGTGCCCCTCGAAACCCCTGACTCACCGCTGGTGCACTGTCCTGCTGGGAGTGTCAAAGGAGCCGGGGCTCAGGGTTAGATGACGGCATTAACGCTGTTATTCTTTATATTACTGTAGCACCAAGGAGCCCCAGTCATGGGTCACACCGCCACTGTGCCGGGGGCTGTACAAGCACAGAACAAAAAGACCGTTCCTGCCCCCAGAGCTGCCAAGCTGAGGACCGCTTTCCCTGTGACTAGCACTGGGGAGCTGCCGTAGTCGAGGATTCTGGGTTCCAGTTTTCCCATGGCAGGCCTGGCCTGCATCACCAACATTATTTCTCTGCGTCAGGGGCTGGCAGCAGGGGCCTAGGTACTAGCCTAGGCAGGGCTCGGGCATTTTACCACCACCGGGTGGCTGTGTGTGAGACCGCGGTAGCAATGCCTGCACTGGGCCTACCCTAGTGCTTGCTGTGTTGCTAGCACTGGAGCAGTGCATAGTTGCTGGCACTTACTGAAATACGAGCAGTGGCTTTGCTAGGGCAGATGCTGCTTTGCAAACTCACCTTGTATCTCACTCACGTTAAAGCCTGAGTCCACAGAGGAGCATCAGATCAACAAGTTCAGCCTGGGATGGATCGACAAGTGTCCTCTGCCAGGAACCTCCTGCTTCAGGGCTGTTTAAAAGCCAAGGACAAAGCATTTACTGTGTGTTCTGTTGCAATGTGCATGACTGGGGCATTTAGTCCTCTCATAAACCATGAATCAATCTGTGCTGGGCTTGGCTGAATTGGACACTCGTTGTTATGGTATTTACCTGGGAGCTGGGGATACAGCTTTATTACCCCTGGCAGGCTAGCTAGTCCACAGAGCAATCTATTACGTACTCGTGTCCTGTACGGCGAGCGGCCTGTCAACTTGTGCTCCGCTGAAGCCATGGCAAGACACTAGGCCAATTCCCTTTTGTTGGGCCACCCGTGTTGTGCCATTTGCAGCTGCACAAAGTAGATGCAGAGCACTGCCATTGTGCCAGGCTGGCAGCAGTGTGACATAGAGTGCAGGGGCGCAGAATTGGGCCCATTTTCTGCCGTGGGAGCAGGAATGGGGACAGCTGGAGAGGCTGACAGGACTGCATGGGATATTTGACACCACGTTCAAAAAGCCTCAGCACTATTTATTTTAATATTGAAAAATTTGGTCCAGTTTAAAAACAAAAAACTCCAAAGGCCCTGCTGTTTTGTTGCTTGGGGTCACGTTTGAGAATAGCAACGAGACACTTTTCACCCAGATGTGATGTGAGTCTTCAGTAAAAACCATGACATGTTATAAGAGCTGGTGGGGAAATGTTTTTGTTTTGTTCTTCCCCTGGGGGGAAATTGTGACAAATGAAGGGGGGGGGAAATCCCACTGAAAACCCCCATACTCATTTGTGGGTTTTATTGTTTGTTTTTTTGTGTGAAACTTTTGAGCCACAAACATAATAATTGTCAAGTTTTGGATAAAATTTTTCAGCTTTGGAGTTTTTTTTTTTTTTATGAAAATGTCAAAGGAAAGGACACATTGGCTGTGGGACACCTTTTATTTAGTTGAATTCTCAAGTTTCTATTTTTTTAAAAAAAGGAGAATTTGGGATCAGCTTTACAAGCCCCATGTACAGTGGGGTTTTGCCCCAGTTCCAGGCATGATTGTAACCACACAGGTACAAGCCCTGAGTGCAGACAAAGGGCTGCTCCACCCTGAACACTTCTTGCTGGCATAGCTCTGTTAGTCAGGGTGTGACTTATTTTACCAACAGAGCTGCACTGGCAAAATCCCTAGTGTAGACACAGTTATACAAGCACAAAGGCCTTCTGCCAGTATAGCTCATTTCATTTGGGGAACCCGTTTCCCAGAATAAGCTGCATCTGATTAGCTGTACCAGCAAAACCTGTCTGGTATAGACAAGGCTGAAGGAAACCACTAATAGTCACCCTTTGCATCAATGCCCTGATTCTCCACACCCTGCACCCAGTGTTGTCATTGAGTCCAGTGCAAAGTGAGTAACAGTGGCACCACTTTCTACTCAGTTCACACTCAGCACAGGTGTCAATGTGGATACAGTTGGGTGACTCTGCAAGGCAGGTCAGGTCAAGACTGGGGCAGTTTTTGCCATTCACACATTTCAATGTGAAAAAGGCCTTTGAACAAAAATCCCTCCAAGTGAAAGTGGGGTGGACTGCAAAATTACAAATCTGTGCAAGTTAGTGGCACAAACATTGCCTGTGTTCTGGTAGTCTAGAACTTACTGTAACCAGGGACCTGCCCAAAGCCCCAAAGGGGGACTTGGGCACCTAACTCTGGAGTTTAGGCTCTTACGTCGCATCGTGGATAGCACCCTAGTGATTAGCATTCCCTAGTGCCACACAGATCCAAGGGACCATTAGATCATCTAAGTGCCTGGATAGCACAGCCCATTACATTTCACCCAGCTACCCCAGTGTTGAGCCCAATAAGTTGTGTTCAGCTAAAGCACATTCCAGAAAGCCAGGCAGGAGTGGAAGCCATCAAGAGATGGAGAATCCATCGCTTCCCTGGGGAATTTGTTCCAGGGGTTAATCACTAGGGGTCTGCTTAAATTACAGAGAAATACACATTTTTCTAGGGGTTGGGAATGGCATAAATAGCACATTTAGCTGATCACATCCATTAAATGTGCTATTTATGCTGTGACCAACCCATGAAAAATGTGTGATTTCTCTGCAGTGTTTCTCAAACTGGGGGCCCTGGCCCAAAAGGAGGTCACAAGCCTATGGTGGGAGGCTCACAGCATTGCCTCCCTTATCTCTGTGCTGCTGCTGGCAACAGCGCTGCCTGACGCTGGGCAGCAGGAGAGCGGCGGCTGCTGGCTGGGTGCCCAGCTCTGAAGGCAGAGCCATGGCCCGCAGCAGTAAAGAGGTAAGGAGGCAATAGCGTACCATGCCACCATTACTTCTCCACTCTGCCTTCAGAGCTGGAGGCTGGAGACTAGATTTCATGGGCTGTGACACGATTTTCATGGCTGCAAATTCTGTAGACCCCTCTTAATCACCTTCAGTGGTAGACACTAATTCCTAATTTCTAATTTGAATTTGTCTGGCTTCAGCTTCCAGCCCTTGGTTCTTTTTTTGCTTCCCTCCCCTTGGTTAAAGACCTCTTTAGTACTCAGTATTTTTTCCCAGTGAAGGTCCTTATACCCTGAAATCAAGTCTCCTCTCAGTCTTTTTGATAAGCTAAGTGGAGATTTAAAGAGCATGATCTCACTGTCAGACATTTTCTCCAGCCCCCATTTTTCTGGCTCTTTTCTGCACCCAGCTCAACTTTTCAACACCCCTTTAAAAATGCAGACTCCCGAACTGTCCGTAGTGTTCCAGTACCAGTCTCACAAGTGCCCCTGGGCAACGGCCTTTCTCCAGCATGCGAAGACTGTTCCGGTGGACTGGGCGGAGGAAATCAATTTGTGATTCAACAGCCACAGCAACAGCAAGGCGGTTCAGCAACGTGCTGTGTGCTGCGGAGAGCATGAAAAGCGTGGAAGATGTGCTGGTCACCCACTGCAGCTAAGGAAGTCCCCAGCCGTAACGATTCTTCGTGCCTCTGGAATCTGGCTTCCACAGCTGGAGAGTGGGACTGCCCCTGTGCAACAGCTTTCTCGCGCAAAAATTTCCCGCACCAGATGCTGATGGTGGTGGTGGTGGTGGGTGGGTTTGCTAAGCCCCGCCCCCTCAGAGATAGACACCTAGCTCTGCTTGGAAACCTGCTGCCTGGAGTCTGGACGCTTAGGCACCGAAGGCATTTCTTGTGCCTACCTCGCCCCACCCAAAATGGCTGGAGGAGCCACAGCACCTGGTAACTTGTATTATAGTGCTTAGAGCACACTCCCGGGGTGTGGGAGACCCAGGCTGCATTCCCCTCCCTCTGCCTGATGGGGAAGAGGGATTTGAACAGGGGTCTCCCGCCTCTCAGGAAGGCATGCTAACCACCAGGCTACGGACACGCTGCTGTGGGGCTTGCTCAGTCCCTCCTGGTGAAGCTGTACCTTTCTGGATAAATAATGACAGGCTGGCCTGAGCAGGGGACCAGACCCAGGGCCTCCCATCTCCCACGGGTGCCCTAATGACTGGCTGCAAGTCGCTCTCACCCTCCTCCCTCCCACTACTGGCCTAACGGCTATTTAAATAATTGTCCCCTCCTCCTCCTCCAGCCAGATTCTGAGTGGGAGCCAAGCTGGTAGGCGTGGTCAGAGGACCTAGGCGGCCGGACACCTATCTTGCCCTTGTCCGCGAATTGCTCTGAGGCTCAGCTGGGAGATTAGGTCCAGACACCTAGAGGGAGGCAGCAGCGCACATGCCCCAGGGTGAGGCGCCGAGTGAATTTCGGCACCTCTAGGGTGAGGTAACAGCCAAGCAGGAGTGGTGCATGTGTGTTTTCACTGCAAATGCAAGGTGTGTTCTTAGCTCAGGTCAGCTAACCTGGGTTCAAACAGCAGTGCAGACACAGTGACTTGGGTTAGTGGCTTAGGTTAAAGTCTGCGGGCGAGTCTGAAGGTGAATTTGAACTGCTAAACCAAGTTTAAAGCCGAGTTGCCATGTCTTCACTGTATCTGAACCCAAGCTGCTAACCCGAATCCAGAACATGCCTTTTCCATAGGGAGGGCATAGCTGGTGTTGATTAATCTTAGTGTGGGAAACAAGGCTGAAGTGTGATTCTTTCTCTCTTATCTGAGAGATTTGCAATATATGCCCCGTGATGAGGAGTTTGAAATGGAATAAACAAATAGCAGAGATGGAAGTCCATCTTGAATAAATTTTCCTGCCAGTTATTTATGGTGGGTTCTGATCAAATTAGCCACCTAGACTCGCCAAAAGCCTTCAGAGTAAGGGGCAGAAATTGTTGTGGTGTGTACCATGAAACTAATTGGTTCCTGATCAGATAAAACAGAACATCAAATTAACGAGGGAATAAGTTATATGGTAAACCTTTGCCATTGCTCTCTATACCAGATGCATTTCAGGTTATGATGTGATTAGCCCATCCTGAAAAAAGGGTTGTTTTTTTTGCTTCAGTTTAGAAAGGGAACAAAATTAAAACCAACAAGCCCAAAAGTTTGCACCAGTATCATATTGACAGCGTGTTCGGCTTTCAGCGGGGGGGGGCGTGTTCGGCTTTCAGCGAGGGGGGGGGGGCTCAAAGCATTTACAGCCACCAATTTATTAAGCCACACAATCCCCTGTGAAACAGACAAATTACACAGATGGGTCACTGGATGGATTACCTGGTTTGTTCATTCTCTCTGAAGCACCTGGCATTGGCCACTGGGCTAGATGGACCATTAGTCCGACCCAGTATAGCTGTTCTTATGGAGAAACTGAGGCACAGAGGTGAATGTTAGTTCAAGGTCACACAAGAAGTCAGAGGCACAACCAGGAAAAGAACCCAGGCTGTGTGTCCCTACCACTTGGCAATACACCCAGTCACAAGCCTACAGACTCTGCTGTAGCGCTGCGTCAGATCCTGATCTTATTACATGGGGTTATGTCAGATTTACAGAAATTGAAATCATTGAGTTACTCCAGCAAGTTGACACTGGAGTAACGAGCTCAGAATCTGGCCCAGGACTTCTGATGTCATTTGTAAAGGCAGAGAGAAAACAGTCACTGTTCTACTCAATGTTGCAATTTCAGGTGGCTGCGTTTCATCCTGATGGTGTTTAATGTAATCATTTTACAGTTCCTCTTTCTCTCTCATTGGCCAAAGGCCTGCGGCCCCAAACATTGTTTTATGCATCATTATGGTGCTTACTATAGAAATAAACAAACTCTAAACCCCTGTTACATTCCAAGTGCTTACATGGTTTAAAAACAAGACTCTACTTCCATTACTCATCTGCTTTTTATAGGTGCTGTTAGTGCCAAGAGATTCTGGAGTGATGATGTTCAGTGGCCACCACCTTCTTTTCAGCCAAGAATGAGACATGTCACTGCTGCTAAAGGCCTGGCTGGGACAGTGCTTGCCAGGCAGTGCCCCGAGCTCTGGGCAATATCTTAGCACACTGTGGCTCAGGTGAGGTTTTACCCGGCTAACCAGGACACTTCATGCAACCCAGACTCTGCTGAGACTGGAGAGAGGCTAAACACTGAAAGCGGCCAAATCAAGTGGCAAGACACTTTCCTTCCGCAATCAGCTGGGCCTAAGGATATGTCTGTACTTGGAGCTAGCACAGCGAGCCCCAGCTCGAGGAAACACCCCCACCAGCTCTGAGCGAGCTCGCGCACTAACCCCAGGGTGTAGCCACAGTAGGGGTGTCTGTGGTCTCTGGCTCGGGGTGGCTAGCACCTCCTACCACTCACGCTGCCATGGCTACCTTCTACTTGTAGAGTGAGCGAGATGGGAGTCGCACCCCCAGGTCCAGGGCTGACGTTCTCTCAGGCTGGGCCGTCTCGTCTAATGTTGGGTCTTGCTCTGATTTCAGCCCAGCTTCACTTACCTTCAGCTGCATCCCTAGGGGTGTGTGTGTGTGTGTGTGTGTGGGGGTTAGATGTATCCCCCAGCCCTGCTCTAATCACAAGTTGATCAGAATCCACCATACATGATTGCCAATGCACGTCCCCAGTGCTACCAATGGTGGGAGCACTAAGCTAGAACGGGCCGTGACATGTTTACTGCTGTGCCATCCAGACCTAGACACCAAAGGCCAGCCTACACTGGGGGTTCCACCCTGCTAACACCTGACCTTAACCCTGCCCTTACCTCCGGAGGTTTGCCAGCCTTTCCGTGGATGACACGGCTCTTTACGCATGGGCTGTGGTGGGCGCACCAGGATAATAAGATGCAGGGCTGCTATGTAGTCAGATGGTGTCCCCGCATTGCTGCAGGAGTGGAAGGGAAATATCACCGATATGGATGGCCCCAGAAGGCTGCATTGCCTTGCAGTGTGTGTGCTAAAATAGAGCACAACCTTTGCCTGCAATTCTTTTATCTCAGCTGTAGATCAGCTTGCAATGCACTGCAAAGCAAATACATCTCTGCAGGAACTGGTTTGCAGTAAAAAGTTAACAGCACTGAGGAACTGATTAAAAATGCCATGTGCAATCCCTGTATCTAATTTTGGCAATTTACCTCATAAAATGTAATTGTAGCTGGAATTTCAGTACATTGCTCCAGCTATGGCCCAAGGTGCCCTTTTCTGTCCCTGTTCTGCTGCCACAGTACACTTGCTTGCCATGCAACCGGTCTGATTTTGTAACCCCCGCGGTGCCCTCCGTTTGTGTCTGTGTCTGTGGTGGGGGGGGGGGGGGGGCACAGTCCAGGCTATTTGCGAAAGGGGTGTGGATGTGACACAGGTGGTCCATGGTTGTTGGTTTTTGAGGAAAATCAAATCCTTATAGTTTTCTGTCGCCAGTGCACACAGCATGACGAGCGCACGTGGGGGGTTAGAAGCCGAGATGGTGGAGCCGGGTTCCTGGCTCCACTGGCATGGCAGCGGGCAACCAGCACCTGGAAAAAAGTTGTTAAACTCCCACTACGCAGCTGTATTGCTGTACGGCACGTCATGCTGACGGGCAGAGCTCTCCTGCAGCAGCACTTTCAGGCTGGCTGCTGGCAGAGCTCCACAGCAGATCCTTTTGGCTGCCTGTATTAGGTTCTTGTGTAATCCCCAAGTGCCCTGGTGTACAGGCTGGTCTGGGGCCCTTGCCGTGGGGTGTGGAAAACCATCCAGCACATCACTTTTGGGTGCAGTGATGGCACCGCCTTCAAAGTGTGGTCCGGGTGTTCAGGATAAGGGCAGGAGGCAGTGGAAGCATTACCAGAGGCCCTGCATGGTCCATTCTCCTCAGGTCCCTCTGCTGGAGCTCTTTTGCTTTTCCTCGGCCCTGGGACCGTGGCCATCCTCTCCATTTGCTCTCACAGTGTCTTGTAGACATAAGTATTTCAGTGACTCTTTGGTAGGTGGGACTGGACAGGCAGAAATCCAAAGAGGGCATTCGAGTCCAGGAGCTCCGCCGGGCTCCATGCAGAAGTGGGGTGGGGATGACTGCATTAATGGGTATATGACTCCGGCTGTGTGTAAACCATTCCCCGGAATTGAAAAGGGGCACACATGGCTGCATGTCAACTTTTAAACAGTGATCTGACATCCAGTCAAGATGACCCCAAAGCAGTGGAGGGCACCCAGCTGGACAGACTGGCCAACCCAGGTGGGATAGCAGTGGGAGGATTAAGAACATAAGAACAGCAATACGGGGTCAGATTAAAGATCTGTCCAGCCCAGTATCCTGTCTTCTGACAGTGCCCCAGAGGCCCCTGTCGCCCATTTCCAGCTTCTGGCAAACAGTGGCTAGAGACACCATCCCTGCCCATCTTCGCTAATAGCCATTGATGGACCTATCCTCCAGGAACTTATCTAGTTCTTCTTTGAAGTCTGTTTTAGTCTTGGCACAAGTGGAGTAGATAGAAGTGCCACCACACAAACTTTACAGTGAACAAACCCACTGTGCAGGGGAGTTTCTCCTATCCTGAAGGGGATTCATTACTGTGACCTAAAAAGCCAAATAATTCAATTTAAAAAACATTTGTGTGTGGACGCAAGGCACGTTAATCCAATTTGGAACATCCCTAGCCAGCCACACCTAATTAGTACTTGTAGCGTTTCCTCAGAAGTCAGCCATTCAGCTCAGCAGCCAGTGCGGCCAGGAACCCAGCAGGGAGTCAGTCAGCCAGCCAGCCCTCCCAGCATGACCTGGCTTTTGGATGGAGACAGTAACTCTGGGCTCAGATCTCGGGCTCTTCCCCCATCCCTACTCAAACCTGGCTTTTCACGTGGCTCCCAGACATTTTTGCCCAAGCTCGGCTTCCTGCCCACCACAAGGGTCCACGTCCCAAGCTGCTGGGTGGTGGGCAGGAGTGGAAGGGAAAGCCGGCAAGCTGCGGCCGGCCATCGGGGAGATAGTGGCAAACAGCTGGAAGCTGCAGGGACAGCCTCTGCTTTTCCTGCTGCCTCTCCCCAAGGAGCTAAAGCAGAGGCCCCTTCCTGCTGCTCCCAGCTGTTTGCTGCTGCCTCTCCACACAGAACTAACACCTGGGAGCTGCAGGGAGGGACCGCTGAGGATAAGAAGGGGTGTGTGCCTGGGGTATGGGTGTGATTCAAGCTACTGGGGGACCCAAACCTTTAAATTGTGGGCCCCCCCACTTTAGCAGGCACCAGTTGTCTCTGGCAGAAGCCCTAGCCCCACCACCCTGCTGCAGGGCAGAAGCCCCAAGTTACTCCCCCCCCGTCTGGTAGGCAGAGAATATGGGGTGTGTGTGCTTGGGGGGCTCCGGGAGCTACAGTTTCACTGTAAAAAGCAACAAAGAGTCCTGTGGCACCTTATAGACTTAGGGTACATCTACACTACAGGGGGGAGTCAATTTAAGATACGCAAATTCAGCTACGTGAATAGCGTAGCTGAATTCGACGTATCGCAGCCGACTTACCCCGCTGTGAGGACGGCGGCAAAATCGACTTCTGGGGCTTTCTGTCGACGGCGCTTACTCCCACCTCCGCTGGTGGAGTAAGAGCGTCGATTCGGGGATCGATTGTCGCGTCCCGTCGAATCGATCCCCGAGAGGTCGATTTCTACCCGCCGATTCAGGCGGGTAGTGTAGACCTAGCCTAACAAATGTATTGGAGCATAAGCTTTCGTGGGTGAATACCCACTCAGTCAAACACAAGACGTCACTGTAAAAGAGCCGCAGTTTGGCCACCCCATCATAGACTGTAAGGCCAGAAGGGACCATTGTGATCATCTAGTCCAGGGGTCAGCAACCTTTCAGAAGCAGTGTGCCGAGTCTTCATTTATTCACTCTAATTTAAGGTCACGTGCCAGTGATACATTTTAAAGTTTTTAGAAGGTCTCTTTCTATAAGTGTATAATATATAACTAAACTATTGTTGTATGTAAAGTAAATAACGTTTTTAAATGTTTAAGAAGCTTCATTTAAAATGAAATTAAAATGCAGAGCCCCCCGGACCAGTGGCCAGGACCTGGGCAGTGTGAGTACCACTGAAAATCAGCTCGTGTGCCGCCTTCGGCACGCGTGCCATAGGTTGCCTACCCCTGATCTAGTCTGACCTCCTGCACCTCGCAGGCCACAGAACCCCGCCCACCCACTCCTGTAACAGACCCCTAACCTCTGGCTGAGTTACTGACATCCTCAACTCATGGTTTAAAGACTTCAAGTTACAGAGAATCCACCATGATGATTCAGTTGGGGATTGGTCCTGCTTTGAGCAGGGGGTTGGACTAGACGACCTCCTGAGGTCCCTTCCAACCCTGAGATTCTATGATTCTATTCACCATTTGCACTAGTTTAAACCTGCAAGTGACCTATGCCCCGTGCTGCAGAGGAAGCGAACCCCTCCTCCCCCCAGGATCTCTGCCAACCTGACCCAGGGGGAAATTCCTTCCTGACCCTAAATATGGTGGTCAATTAGATCCTAAGCATCTGGGCAAGATACTTGGGAAAGAATTTTCTGTAGTAACTCTGAGCCCGCCCCACCTAGTGTCCTCACTGGCTGTTGGGATTTTTGCTACTGGCCATGTGCCATCGTAGGTATAATGAGGATGTTTTCCTTCTGGAGAGCCCAGTCACAAATTATGGCACTCTGGGGAGGGAGAGGCAAAGGGTGGCTCAGGATGGAGGGAGGAGCTCTCAGGAACTCAAGGTGAAGGGAAGGAGACAGACAGGAAAAGGGGCAAGAGGCACAGATGTGGGGTATTAGCTGCAAGTATGCAAATTGTATGCAAATATCAAACATTTAATTGATGCAGATTTGTTCTCCAGGATTTTCATGGGGCAGTGCAGGCTGGTCTGGTGTCAGCATTCCCAGCCACCAGTGAAGGAGCCAGGAAAGGAAGCTGCCAGTCCATGCTGGAACCCAGGAATCCTGCCACTGGCGCTGGAGCCAATGAAGCTTGGGGTGAGCCATCCATTTAGGAATTGCAGCTGACCAGCCCCGGAGCCAGTGAGCCCCTCAGCCAGCCCATAAGCAGCGTTTCAAGAGGCAGGGTGAAGCCTTTGTACATTCATTCTGAGATGGGAGGTCAGAGCTGTCCTGGGGAAAAGAAGAGGCGCTCGAATGTAAAGCCCACCACAGTCAAGGCGTGCTTGTGGGTGAAGACGGCTGTGATGAGGAGCAGCCCAGTGATAACGGGTGGAACTGGAAGTGAAGGGTAGACACCGCAGAGGATCTGTGACTTCAGCGAGCAGCTGAACCGACCACAAGGCATTGTTCCAGACCCCAAGCTTTAGAGTGTCCTTTAAAGCCAAGGGCAGCTGCTTGTGCTCAGCACCTCTGAAAAGCCCCGGATCCTTGGCCGCTTTTGAAAATGTAGCTACATGTGACCCAGCAAAAGCTGCAGGGAGAGTCAGTGTCCAAGCTGGCGTTAGGATACCCAGCCCGCGTCTGGAGGCTGCCAAGGCCAACCTGGACAGGCTTCAAGCAGACAGTTTGTCATCAGCCGTAGGTGTGATCGGAACGTGCCTCTGAGCGAGAGCTCAGAACAGAACGGAGCGTGAAATCTGAGTCCCATCACAAACGCTGAGCTCATGCAGTCACTATGCAAACAACTGCCTCCCTCCATTTAGCTCTGTGAACCCAGCCTGGGGGAGTGACTCTGCATGTTGATGGTGGAGCCCCCACCCAACAGGAGCCATTTTTAGACATGATTTAAGTGCCCACATAACCTGAATGCCCAGGCCAGTGTGTGCTTTAAGAACTGTACGGTCTGTGATACTTATCAAACAGAACATGAGGCCTTTATGTGTTGATCTTTATGAGGTCCCTGGGCCTGTCCTGTTACTGCCTGACTGCTCCATCCAGAGGGGTGTGGAAGAGCAATGCGGGGCTGCCTTGCTGGTCTTCTTGCTAGTCTGCAACTAGTCTGTCAGATTCTGACCCTTCTGTGGGAGATCAAAAAGCCAAGAAGGTGAAAGGGGCCCACGTGATCTTGCACTGCTAGGACTCCCTAGGGAAGTCCAAGTCCCCATATTTCCTGTATCAAACACTGTCCCTTTTTAATACACCCTTGGTGTGTGGTGAATAAACCTCCATCCCCAGAGTGCTCCAAGGTGGGTCCCATTTAATGGAAGCCGCTCCTGACTCCTTGAGCCAGGATTCTGCCTGCCTTGTCTGAGTGATTCCCAGCATCTAATTATCCCCAGCCTGGTCCCTAGGATAGCTTCACAGTCACCCACATGCAGCTTTCTATATGTGCTGCATGCTCTTAGCCATGAGACTGACGCGATTATTGGGGGCCCTCAAAACTGTGAGCCACTCCGAGATGCTGCCTGGCTCGTGGCAGGTGCTCACACACATTGCCCCAAATAGGGCTGGGGGGTTTCCCAGGAAATTTTGAAATTTCAAACTTTTATTTCCAAATTTCCTTTGAAAAATTGTCTGTAACTATCTGGGGCGTCCCCTCCTTTTCCGAGATAGAGGGAAAAGGGTTTGAAAAACCCAAATGATGCCCATTCCTATGCATGTTGACAGAACAAGGAGTAATGGTCTCAAGTTGCAGTGGGGGAGGTTTAGGCTGGATATTAGGAAACACTGTTTCACTAGGAGGGTGGTGAAGCACTGGAATGGGTTCCCTAGGGAGGTGGTGGAATCTCCTTCCTTAGAGGTTTTTAAGGCCCGGCTTGACAAAGCCCTGGCTGGGATGATTTAGTTGGGGACTGGTCCTGCTTTGAGCAGGGGGTTGGACTAAATGACCTCCTGAGGTCCCTTCCAACCCTGAGATTCTATTTCGTTTCTGGGTTTTAAAAGTGATACACAATTTTTCAATAGGAAACAATCTGAAATTTTTCCTTTAGTTGAAAAACTGAAAATCTTGAAATACATCAAATTTGTCCTTGAAAAATTTGTTTCTTTCAAAAACCATTTTGCACTGGAAGAAAACGTTTTGACAAAAGTTCTCCACTAGCTCTGACCCGATGCCATAAACTGGGCATCCTCTGCACTGAATGAACTGCAGCTGGCCAGCTCTGTTAGCCTCTTCCAGCTCCATGGGTCATTTCTTACACACTGCTTTGCTGCAGGACTAACCAATCACACCAGTGCTGACTTATTTCAGAGTAGCAGCCGTGTTAGTTAGTGCTGACTTAGAGACACCAAGGAAATCACAACATCTGAGCAAGAACAGGCAATACCATCGGGATGTCTGGATTTTAATTATGCCCTATAAGCCCCCACCCCACCCCCCGCACTGTCAACACTTATATTCTGCCAAAAGGGCCAAAATAGCACGGGGCTCTAGCTTGTCTAGCAGATGTTAAAGCATCAGGGGGGAGCCGTGTGAGTCAGCATCCACAAAAACCACGAGGAGCCCGGTGGCACCTTATAGACTAACAGATTTATTTGGGCATAAGCTTTCGTGGGTAAAAAACCCACTTTTTCAGATGCATGGAGTGAAAGTTACAGATGCAGGCATTATTATACTGACACGTGAAGAGAAGGGAGTTACCTCACAAGTGGAGAACCAGTGTTGACAGGGCCAATTCAATCAGGATAGATGTGGTCCACTCCCAATAATTAATGAGGAGGTGTCAATACCAAGAGAGGGAAAATTGCTTTTGTAGTGAGCCAGCCACTCCCAGTCCCTATTCAAGCCCAAATTAATGGTGTTAAATTTGCAAATGAATTTTAGTTCTGCAGTTTCTCTTTGAAGTCTGTTTTTGAAGTTTTTTTGTTCAAGTATGGCTACTTTTACATCTGTTATAGAATGTCTAGGAAGTGTGACAGACCCAGACCAGTGGGGTACAGGAGTCTGGTCCTATTGGGATCCAGGAAGTGGGTGGGCAAAGCCCGCCCACCGCTAAAGGATCCCCTACAGGAGTCTGGTAGAGGGCAAATATACTGGTCACTGGATGAGTAGTTTTCTGTTCCCTGAGTGACCAGAGCAGGAGCTGCACTAGAGTAATCAGGAACTTGCTAGAACCAGTTCAGGCAGGCAGGCTAATTAGGACACCTGGAGCCAATTAAGAAGAAGCTGCTAGAATCAATTAAGGCAGGCTAATCAGGGCACCTGGGTTTTAAAAGGCGCTCACTTCAGTTTGTGGTGTGAGGAGCTGTGAGCAAGAGGCATAAGGAGCTGAGAGGGTGTGCTGCTGGAGGGCTGAGGAGCACAAGCATTATCAGACACCAGGAGGAAGGTCCTGTGGTGAGAATAAGGAAGGTGTTTGGAGGAGGCCATGGGGAAGTAGCCCAGGGAGTTGTAGCTGTCATGCAGCTGTTACAGGAGGCACTATAGACAGCTGCAGTTCACAGGGCCCTGGGCTGGAACCTGGAGTAGAGGGTGGGCCTGGGTTCCCCCCAAACCTCCCAATTGACCTGGACTGTGGGTTCTTACAGAGGGGAAGGTCTCTGGGCTGTTCCCCAACCCACATGGTGAATCTCTGAGGCAAGAAAATCTGCCAATAAGTGCAGGACCCACCAAGATAGAGGAGGAACTTTGTCACACAAGATTGAAGTGTTCTCCTACTGGCTTTTGTATGTTACCATTCCTGATGTCTGATTTGTGTATTCTTTTATTCTTTTACGTAGAGACTGTCCAGTTTGGCCAATGTACATGGCAGAGGGGCATTGCTGGCACATGATGGCATATAGAACACTAGTAGATGTGCAGGTGAATGAGCCCCTGATGGTGTGGCTCATGTGGTTGGGTCCTCTGATGGTGTTGCTAGAGTAGATATGGGAACAGAGTAGTCATTGGGGTTTGTTACAGGGATTGTTTCCTGGGTTAGTGTTTCTGTGGTGTGGTGTGTGGTTGCTGGTGAGTATTTGCTTCAGGTTGGGGGGCTGTCTGTAAGCGAGGACTGGCCTGTCTCCCAAGATCTGTGAGTGTGAGGGCTCATTTTCCAGAATAGGTTGTAAATCACTGATGATGTGCTGGAGAGGTTTTAGCTGGGGGCTGTACATGATGGCCAGTGGTGGTCTGTTATTTTCCTTGTTAGGCCTGTTCTGTAATAGGTGACTTCTGGGTACCTGTCTCGCTCTGTCAGTCTATTTCCTCACTTCCCCAGATGGGTATTGTAGTTTTAAGAATGCTTGATAAAATAGGCCCACACTTAAAGTAAGTCCATACTTAAGGGGGTGCTTCTGCTCAGACTGGCCCCACATCAACAGCTATCTAGTGGCAGGAGTTGCCAGATACCAGCACTGCTAGCTCCCCGAGGCAATGAGGAATCAAGATGAACTCACCTGTACAGAACATTGCAAGTCCTGCACTTTGTCCAAACTGCCTTAAGCTCCTTGCCGTTCCCCCATCGTTTACCAGCTCAGCTACGGTTCACTGCTGGTGGGTATTTTTCGGCTCCTCTGAGATTCCAGGTCTGTGATTAGCACTACACAAGAGCTAGGTGGTGGTATTATTATTATGGCCACACCAACTCAGTTTTACATAGCGACAGTTACAGAAACTCACCCAAGGATCCCAAGCAGCAATCAATAGGAATCCACTCACTCCTAGGCTTTGTTTAGTAAAGCTCTCGATAAACACACTGGACAAGGTGGCAGAACCTCGGCCGTTTGTGTTCAGGGAGCTAAGGCCTCACCAGCTCAGTTTAACAACTACACACTCCCCAAACCTCACCAGATGGCCTCAGCCTGCCATCAGCAGGAACGCACTCAGGCGATCACATGAGCAAAAGGCAGTCGCTCACAGGTGGTCCCAATTCAGAGTCAATTTACATTCTCTCACTGGCAGATGGTCCCAGTTGGGAGTCAATAGTCTTCCATTTATTAACAGGGTTGGTTTGGTAAAGTGCTCTGGTGAATGCTTAGCAGGGTGTTGCAGTCCTGCAAAATGGGGACATTCCCAGTAAGACTCATCGCCCTTGAAGCTGACATACCTTTTGGAGTCAAATAATTGTATCAGCTGTTTCAGTTCTCAAGAGTACGTGATCCATCTGGGCCCAGCAGCACTCCTTGGCACTGGAACTCTACAAGGGAAGGGCCATTTTGTCCTACTAAAACTGCAACAGAAAGGGGTCTGGGAAGCAGAGTAAATTCTGGGATCTCTTGAGTGATTGCTAAGATGAACCACCCATCCAGCAGACAGCTGGCACTAAGCGAGGCAGACAGTTGTGTTCAGCATAACATACCCCCGAGGGAGAAGGGGAAATTTTGCCTAAGGACACTGTGGCAAACACAGGCCCTTACAAAAAGGGCCAGGAGAGCTTTAATATCCACGCAGAGCAGCCAGTTTTTCAAGATCTCATCCAAAAAGACCTCCCCATTATATACTGCATGGAGATCAGTCTTTCTGAAGCAGAAAGACAACGGGCTTAGTTAGCCCTGCCAGATAAAAGCCTGTCTATGTATTTTCAGACCTGAAGCTTAGGTCCCTAAGTTGTCCCCTATGGCTTAATAATCTAAAATACTTTCATTTCCCTAGCTGTATTGGCAAGGACTCTCAGGATGCATTTAAAAAACAATCTGGCTGATATTTTGGGGTTCAGAGAAAGAAATTTCTCCATCTTGGTAAAGGCACATTATGTTAGCTGATTTAAAAAAAAAACTGTGAAGAATGGAAACATTGACTGTTCCTGGTGGATGGAATGCATAATGGAGGTGGTTTGGGAAGTTCACCATCCATTTCTGAAGTGGCTCAGACATCACCAATCCAGATCTCAGAAGTTACACAGGATTCAGAGAGTGAGGTCTCCTCAGGAAGTGATAGAATCCAGGGAGGTCAGGAATTTGGCATTTAAATGGATTTATAATTAAGCTGATTGTAATGCTGGGACAACGATCCCTTCAGAGCATCTTGGCAAAAGCCAGACAAGGTTTGGTGGGAGGGGAATGAAGGTGTTCAGTCACCAGTGTTGACTGAAAATGAGAAGCATCAAGAAAATGTTGGAGAGGCCAAAGGAGAGAGACATTTCATAGAAGATTAGGGTTGGAAGAGACCTCAGGAGGTCATCTAGTCCAACCCCCTGCTCAAAGCAGGACCAACCCCAACTAAATCATCCCAGCCAGGGCTTTGTCAAGCCAGGCCTTAAAAACCTCTAAGGATGGAGATTCCACCACCTCCCTAGGGAACCTATTCCAGTGCTTCACCACCCTCCTAGTGAAATAGTTTTTCCTAATATCCAACCTAGACCTCCCCCACTGCAACTTGAGACCATTGCTCCTTGTTCTGTCATCTGCCACCACTGAGAACAGCCTAGCGCCATTCTCTTTGGAACCCCCTTTCAGGTAGCTGAAGGCTGCTATCAAATCCCCCCTCACTCTTCTCTTCTGCACACTAAACAAGCCCAGTTCCCTCAGCCTCTCCTCATAAGTCATGGGCCCCAACCCCCTGATCATTTTCATTGCCCTGTGCTGGACTCTCTCCAATTTGTTCACATTCTTTCTGTAGTGGGGGGCCCAAAACTGGACGCAATACTCCAGATGTGGCCTCACCAGTGCCGAATAGAGGGGAATGATCACTTCCCTCGATCTTCTGGCAATGCTCCTATTAATGCAGCCCAATATGCCATTAGCCTTCTTGGCAACAAGGGCACACTGCTGACTCATATCCAGCTTCTCATCCACTGTAATCCCCAGGTCCTTTTCTGCAGAACTGCTGCTTAGCCAGTCAGTCCCTAGTCTGTAGCGTTGCATGGGATTCTTCTGTCCTAAGTGCAGGACTCTGCACTTGTCCTTGTTGAACCTCACCAGATTTCTTTTGGCCCAATCCTCCAATTTGTCTAGGTCACTCTGGACCCCATCCCTACCCTCCAACGTATCTACCTCTCCCCCCAGCTTAGTGTCATTGCAAACTTGCTGAGGGTCCAACCCATCCCATCATCCAAATCATTAATGAAGATGTTGAACAAAACAAGCCCCAGGACCGATCCTTGGGGCACTCCGCTTGATACCAGCTGCCAACTAGACATGGAGCCGTTGATCACTACCCGTTGAGCCCGACAATCTAGCCAGCTTTCTATCCACCTTATAGTCCATTCATCCAGCCCATACTTCTTTAACTTGCTGGCAAGAATACTGACTGTGAGGTTTCCATTCTCTTTCAGCAGAGACGTAGGGAAGTCTCTTTCTTTGAAGTTATAATAGAATTTAAGCTGCAAAATAAGTGGCTTGGGCAAAAGATCTATTGGGGCAGGTCTCTGGCCTGTGCTCTACAGAAAGTCAGACTGGATGCTCACACTGGTCCCTTCTGGCCTTGGCAGCCATGAAAAATGTATGAGCCCAATCGTGAGCTCCTCAAGCAAACTCCTAATCCTATCAATGAGGGGAGACGCATGGAGGGGGCCCAGAAGGGTCACATGACCCTCCCCAATCACCTGGGGGGCAGGCAAAGGTCCAGCAGCACCCAGGAGTCAGAGCTGGGGAGTTTGTTTATAAACAGATGCAGATTAAGATAACAAAAGGCTTGTCATTAAATTAAGGATAGTGAGATGATCCTGAAAGCATCACCAGGCACTCCAGTTAAAAGACAGGAAACAAAGGGTAGGAATAAATGGCCCAATTTCAGAATTTCCCGTAACTAGAGGTGTCCCCAGAGTCTATACTGGTTTGGGACCAGTGCTGTTCAACATATTCAGAAATGATCTGCAAAAAGGGGTAAACAGGGAGGTGGGGAAGTTTGCAGATGATACAAAATTACTCAAGATAGTTAAATCAAAAACAGACTGCAAAGAGTTACAAAGGGATCTCACAAAATTGAGTGACTTGGCAACAAAATGGCAGATGAAATTCAATGTTAAATGCAAAGTAATACACATGGCAAAATATAATCCCAACTATACATACAAAATGATGGTGCCTAAATGAGCTGTTACCCATCAAGAAAGATCTTGGACTCATTTTCAGTACTCTGGAAGCACGACGTTTCCAGAGTACTGCAAATGTATAAGAATCCTTCTCGCTGTGCCTGTATCCTGAACTCATTCTCCAGCTTCAGAAGACGTAAAAATTATCTCCAGTCATCAATGGGACAGACGCAACTGAATAATGTAGCTGTCCTTAACGTGCAGGTCATGTGCCCCCCCCTTTAGCTGGTGCTCCCCTTGGTGTCCCTCCAATGTGTCACCACTGATGGGCCTGAGTAAGTATTGAATGAAAATGAGGAAGGGGCTCAGGAGTTGGTACAATATGAATGGACATATACCAAGAGTCAGATAGTGAAGCCAAAATGGATATGCATCTCCATAGTAACCTCAGAACAGAGGTTACTGTTGAGCGGTCCATGAGAACACCAAACATCTGTAGCACTCCATGGGAGCAGATCTGACTGCAGCAGAAGGTCATGAGGTGTTGGTGAGAGAAAGTGGTGAAGAAACAAGGACCTTAATATGATGCTCCCATGATGCTGAAGTAGTCGGCACAGATTTCTCCCAATACTGAATCCAGGGAGCTAGACTGTGATGCTCTAACTCATCCTGAGTTGTAGCACACTTCTCAACTAGTCCATTCATGGGATTACTTGAGAAGTAAACTGCTTAAGGTAACAGTTTCAGAGGGGTAGCCGTGTTAGTCTGTATCAGCAAAAACAATGAGGAGTCCTTGTGGCACCTTAAAGACTAACAAATTTATTTGGGCATAAGCTTTTGTGGGCTAGATGAAGTGGGTTCTAGTGCCACAAGGACTCCTCATTGTTTTTGCT